TCACTGTGCTGGTGAGGTGAAGGTCAGGTGTTCAACATATTAACTCACAGAAAATCACGTTTAATAATGGGACACATTTTCAGTGAATCATCAAACAGCAGAGTGAAGCCAGATTCTTTTTTATTGTTTCTTTACCTTCAGGAGTTCAAACACACGACTAAATATTCAGCTGACTCCTCTGTGTGATCATTTCATGCTACATTTTCTCGTCTCCGAGTGTTTTAATCGTGAAACATTCACCAAATAGACAGGACGACTGAAATTAAATCTGGAAGCTTGTCAGATCTTAAATTCAGTGCGTTTGAGGAGAAAGAAAGATGAAGTTACGGCACTTTGCACATCTCCATTATGAAGAGCAGACGGTTTAGAAAGAAAAGAAAAAAAAGAGAGATTAAAATCACTCTTTGGAGTCAGATTGTAGTTCTCGTAATCTGTCTTTCTCAAGATCGACTTATGAAGGTCTCTGCCTCATCTCAAAGGCATTTTGACTCAGACTGGGAGGACTCCAGGTTTTAAATCAAGACCGCAACTGATAGGATATTGTTCCAAGTCATTACTCTGAGTAGAATGAAAACACCTCTTTTTAAAAGAACAAATAACTTTAATTCATGTTTAGTTTGATTTTTATTCCCCTGGTAACAGCTGCAACCTTCTCGGTGTTACGTTCTAAGTGAGGGATGATTTTTCAGAGATATTTATGGTCTTGGTCTTGGTCTTTACTCGGCCCCGACCCCTAAATGTTTTGGTCTTGTCTCTGTCTTGGAGTACTCTGGTCTTGGGTTTGTCTTGGTCTTGACTACACTACTTTGGAGAGTTTAAACGAGAGGGTTCATTCTGAAATAAGTGAAAATTCTTTCTAAAAATTCAGATTATTTAAGTTTTAATGAAGAGACGTGGAGTTGTTCTGCTTCCTGTTGGACAGGCGGGTGACAAACACCAGCAGTTAGCTTGTTCTAAATTATCATTTTTCTTTACAACAAATGTTAAGTTATCAGGTAGCTCGCAGTAAACGTTCACACTACATCCTGCAGTGAGTGAGAGCTTCTGGCGGCGATGAGCCCAGGAGGAGGGGGAGGGGCTCAGTTTGAACATTTTCTTTACAAGCCGTCACAAACATTTTTGCTGACTCCACCTTTAAATTATCCCCCCCCCCCCCATGACCGTCTGATGGAGGACGCGTTGATCTGCTTCACCCTGACACATCCCAGCTTCCGTCCACATTACCTCCAACGTTGTTTATTTTCAGAACACATAAAAAAAATGTGACTAACAGTACAAACATTTGTCCAATAACAGCAGAGACTTACATTAAAGTAGAACAAAAAACAAAGCTATGAAAAAAAAAGTATCTGTTATGAATAAGGCCATCGATAAAGTTATGTACTACAACAAGAACATGTCGTCATCGTCTACGGTGTGTTTCAATGACTTACAAACATGTCAAAGAATGACACGTGACAGCGGTCTCAGGTTAGATCCACGACGTACAATATGAGTTTTAAGATCGGGGATGGAAAGAGGGAGAAGGGGGGGAGGGGAGGGGGACACCTGTCTTACATTCCCAGAAAGGAATATTTAGATTCAGTGGAAGTCTGACTCGTTGCTCCCACTTTGTTTCAAACTAAAATCAGTAATCAGAGCAGACTCGATCGGTCCGGCTACATGTAGAGGACAGTCAGAGCTCACAGTGTTTGGATCGCCCGGCGCCCCATGAGGAACCAGTTTTATTTGGGGCTGGGGGGGCAGATTAAGGGCCTCTGGTATGAAAACAGTGCATGTGCTTTAAAAACAGACGGTTCCAGAAGACTGAACGTACAAAAATATCACCTGTGATTTGGCAGCTTGTAACTGTTTTTGCACGTTTTTTTTTGCCAAACACCTGACATCAACTTCAAGGTTTTAAGCCACTTTGCTGGAATTTTTAAGAAGTGCACATTTAAGAAAGCCTGCAATGAGAACACAGTGAGGTGGAGAGGGGAGGGAGAGCCCTTTTTCTCTACTGGTGTGGCTTCAGCACACAAATTAAAATCTGGTTGTAATCGTTGAGTGACACGAGGGGAAACAAGCGTGCAAAGACTGACAGGCGGCGAAAACAAAGAAAAGGGAAAAACAGGACAAATAAAGAAATCAGAATGGAGTGTGGGGAGGGGGGGACGTGATAAAACAGTAGCATAACATTTACAAAAGCTCTTCTGAAGCTGAACAGGACAAAATCAACAAGGTGTTCTTGGTGGGGAAAAAGGCAGAGAGAAGACCCGGCTGTCACGTCGTCCCAGAAGGAAGCCTGCGTTTTTCGTAAAAATCGAGGAGTTCCAAGGACATTTTAGTGCATGACTTACAAAGTTCAAAGTTCACTGACTTCTTATTAAACGGAGCAGAAGGCGCGTCGAGATATCAGAATGTTAAACTATGATACCACTGCATCAAAACTACAAGTCCAAGGCACCTGATATTGGTTCATTTCAATCATGCAGTCAAACTCGTGCACAGTCTGAACTGCACAAACACATCGGCAACTTTCAAGTTCCTACAATGCTGCCCGTGCTTTTGTGAAAGTTGGACAAAGTCTCTCTAATGCAGCCGTCAAATGGAATAGATGAACTTCTGTACTTTTTAAAATACTATTGGTCAATAAAATAACTTTTATTTTATTCTTTTTAAAACTGGCGGTGTTGAAATGTATTGAATATTTGGACGTCACTGAGCAGAGACGTGGACGAGAGCTTAATTACACGTTTGCACGGTTGTAACAGTTGTTGCTACCCACATGGAGTGACATTAAAACATCTTTTTTAGGATGAAGATGCAGGGTAAACTCAGAGCCCAGAAACACTTTCAGCGATCTGACTCACAGCGTTACTGGAGGGATTCTGGAAGCTCGCTGCATCGAGGCAGACACATGTCATCCTCTCAAAAAAAACACAATCGGTAGTTAGCGTTACTAAAAGTGAGAGCAGCTAACAGAAAAACTTCAATGCACCTCAGAATTTGGATCAAAATGAAGCGACACTTTGTTTTATTTGGGAATGTTTGGACTTCCTTGGACTCGCTCGTGTGCCTGCGTCTTCCTCTTAAAGAGTCAGAGTCAGCGTCAGCAGGCGAGGCACAGAAACAACCAATCAGGGTTGGTCTGGGACGAAGTGATGATGCGTGACAGGCGGGTCTTCAGAGGAGGTTCTTCATGTTTGATTTGTTTTCAAACTGATTATTAAACACACACATAACCACACACACACACACACGTTACACACAGTCAGAGAACATCACCGTGTTTTCACACTGAAGTCCATTACAAAAACCAGATTGGTACTGCACGGTCTGGTTTAGGGAGGGGCGGGGTTACAGGCAAGGGAGGGGGGAGGTTCTTACAGAGTGACAGGAGAGTTTGAAGAAGAGGCAGTGACCGAGGCGTCGTCGATTATCGTTAAAAAGGTGTTTCAGGAGAGGAGGGGCTGAGGGATGGAGGAGGAAGTCCAGCAGGTTGGGGGGGGGGGGGGGGGGAGACCCACAGTCGAGATCACGTTTGGTGCTGGGTATAAAACCAAAGTGGCCGTCTTGGCTTGATGAGAGATCTCGAGGCGGGGTTGAAGACCACGGCGTCTGAGTGAAAGCTTCTCGCTGTCTCGAATATTAAAACTCCTCCTGCTCCTCAGCGTCCGGTATCACGAAACCATCCTGAGAGAGAGAGAGAGAGAGATGAGTCTGCATTTCATTTATTCATCAAGCTCTTCATCTCTTTGGAGCCAGAAACCAAAAAAATCAGACAAGGACGAGTGAGCGATGGTTAGAAGTCTAAAAGCCGTGCACGCCTAAATCACTCGGTACGTTTACTCGTTAAGATCGATTCATCGCGTTAGGACAGAAGAGATCCACGGATTCTAATCGCTAGGAAAAGTGGAATTTCTCCAAGTTGGACTAAAGCATCTTGATAACGCAGCTGGGGGTCGAGGCGTTCTGAGCGCCCTCCACAGTTCCTGCGCCTGGCATAAATACAAGGAAAACAAGACGCTGTAATCAACATGGCGAGCACTAGAGTGAGAGACTAACATGTGTGAACAGACGAGGAGACACGTCTCATGTTGTCAGCTGGAAAGTTTTACACATTTTCACCGTTTAAAGAAACAACCAGTTTGCCTCCAGTTAATTTTTTTGACGTTATAGGTCAACCCGAAGAAGGTCCAACAGTAATGAGCTGAACGGGGGAATATCTCCACCTGCTGACGTGGAGTCAGACATACTTCTCTCTAGAAATCTATTCTTCCCTGGGAGCTTCTAAAATCTGGGATAAGGACAACATCTGATTAAATTCTTAATTTTTTGCACTATTCACTACTGCACTGTTTCATATTTAGTCATGTAAATATTAGTCTTTTCTTATTCTGTTTATTGTTGATATTTAATGTTGTACCTGTACATAAGAGAGCACAGTTCACCAAAGTTAAATTCCTTGTGTGTGTAAACATACCTGGACAATAAATCTGATTCTGATTGAGCGAGAACCGAAGCTCAACTTAAGCGTGCAGGTAAACGTACCGAGTGTGGAATAACTACTGGATTTAAAAAGACACTGAAAGGGGATGATGTCGTCTTCTTCTTCTGTAAGGAAAATCTAAAGCATCAAATCTTTACAGGAACTTTTCAAAGAGCAATTTATTTCTTCCTAAGAATTTATTTCTAGGACACTAAAGTTAAAACACTCAGTTCAATCAATCGATGCTAACAAGTATAAACACGATTTTTGCAGCTCTTATTCGGGTTAGTTACGTATTAGGTTTTGTTAAGGGTCATTTATTAGTGTGATTGGGTGTTTATTAAGGGGGTGTGGCCACATGGAAACAGACAGTGACACTCATGGTTCATATAAACACCTTGTTAGCTCATCAGACAAGAATCCCGGCCTGAGCTCAGCGACTTTTAGTTTGTCTCCTGCAGGTTCAACGACAGACAGAAAGTGCGAGTGTAGGCTTTAGTGCAGTTTAACGATCACAACACAGCTCCTCATCTAAAGCCTTCCTTAGAGTTCAGTACATCACAGTTTAGATCTGGTTTTCTGCATACAGGTCACGGGAGGGGTCAGTACAGTTATCACACCCACAGTCAGCGTTCAGCCTCAGTGAGGGAGCCGCATGCCATTCCTCTGCAGGAATTCACAACGGCATCAGCAGTTGTTAAGAGCAGAACAAATGGGCTTTAATCCAGTACTGAGCTAAGAACAGATCACAACATTTTGTTTAGAGGGAGGGGGGGGGTTAAAGATAAGGCCGGTAGTTCCCCACAAACTGTAAACTCTTAAGGATTGTTTACAGATTGATCTGTGTTTAAAAACATTATTTTTTTAGATGAAATTAAAGGAAGAATGTGCAACTTTCTGATCCAGTAGGCGTCGCCCTTGAGCACCAGCATGAAACCAAAACAAACTTCCTGTTAGGGCACGCCTCCTCCATACTGCGGACAAAATTGCCCTTTGCTCGATGTGATGCCTGTGGCCTGCATTGTTGTGTTAGCATGCTAATGTTAGCGCTCTTTAGTTAGCTCGTAGCTTCACATTGTTGTGTTAGCATGCTAATGTTAGCGCTCTTTAGTTAGCTCGTAGCTTCACATTTCATGTAAACTGACACAGAATGAGCGTGATCTAAAAACTCTTACTAACATCCAAATAATCAGTGAGTATGTTCTTCTTCTTCTCTCTAGTTCTTGACTAAAACAGCTTTTATACACAAGGGGAGGAGCCGGCCGTCCCGTCCATGTAAACACGGCTCTGACAACAACACAGCCAGCGGGACTCGAGCTTCTCCCTCATTGTAGACAGTCAGGACTCAGAGACACATTTACACAGGACAGACTTTATGATTTATTGATGTGGAACATGTCGCTCATTCTTCCTTTAAGACGTCATTCTAAATAATGTTCTGTTTGAAAAACATGATTAATAAATTATTTTAGAGTCATTTTGTTTTTTTTTTTTTTTCTTTGTAACTTTCATCATTGAAATAAACCATCAACTTGTCGCTCTACAGAATAAACTTCAGCATCACTTCACTCTCCTAACAGCGTTAGCTCGTCTTATTAAAAACAGGTTTCAGACTCACGTCTGTGGCGTAGAGGATGTCGATGATCCTCTGCAGTGTCGGGTCGCCCTCTCCTTCCTTCTCCTGGCAGATCAGCTCGATGTTCCTCAGCTTACCGAAATAAAAATCTCTCTCCTTCTCCATGTCCTGAATGGTCGACTTCAGCATGTCCATCTTGGAAGAAAGTAAAGAAGTTTTGTCTCCACTCCTCCATGACGACACAAACACTAATGACTGTCACGTTAGAATATTTGCTAGCTGCTGTTATGCGTTATGCTAACCTCGTTCATAAGCTCCGCCCTCTCCTCATCGCCTCCTCCCATCCCCGGCTTCCTCGCGCTGACGTTAGACAACTTGGGCGCTACCTTGGCGACAGGCGGCCTCTGAGGAGCTGAGGACACAACAAATAAAGACGTTCATAAACAAGTCCCAAAGCAGTTTGAACCGGTCCGACCCAGCAGACTAACCACAGCTCTGACCTTGACTGAGGGCCTTCTTGGGTGGTTTGTTGAGCGCTGACGGGGAGGGTCCTTGGGGCATGGCGTCCTGGCCCTGCCTCGCCTCCACCGGGTCGTACTCCTTTCCATCGTAGTTGGCGTCAAAGAACTTCTTGAACCACTGGACGAACTCAAAGTTGTCCTGGAACTTCCCCTTCACCAGTTTGTCTACTGGAATGATCTGGAAGAACACGCAGAGAGGGAGAGTAAAGACCAGGATGTGCGGGCGTGCATCGTGTTTAACAAGCTTTCATTTCTCTGTTATGAGTTCTTCTGTCTGGTGTCATGACATGTTCAGGATCACTGTCACTACAGGGCATACACTCATCTCTACAATCAAACCTTTTAAGGACCTGGCACTGCTTCATAAAACAAAACCTGAAACTATTCATTCTGCATTAACTGAAGAAGCTGTTGACACATAATTGACTTTAAAGTTGACACAGAAAACTTGTTAGGATGCGGTTCAGTTGCTTATTTAAACAACGAGCAGTTACAGGAACTCCTGAGGGAAAACCTTAACGCTCCACAATGTTCACCAGTTGTTCAATAAAACAACAACTGCCCTCCTCGGTGCATCAAACACAAATCTGTCCAGAATAAGAAGCGTCAGCGTTAAAACAAAAAGAAACAAGCTCAGCAGTGAACACGATTAATCAGCAGTGGAGGAAGCCGACATTATCGGACAATACTCGCTCACAAAGCTCCAACGAGGCCAAAGTCCGGCCTGCCGACACAATGCCGGGGTTTATAACTCTGAAGGGCAGCACACTGATGTGCCAAACATGTTCGAGTGTCTGTAACACACGTCGCACTGTGCAGGCGCTTCAGACACAGAAGCACACATCTGCAGTAAAGAGTTAAAAGAGCCGGACAGCAGGAAGGAAGCTGCCCCATGAATAAGTTATAGGAGCTCCGTCGATAGTCCTGCAGGCTGCTGCATGTTCAGTCTAAATACAAATGATGACTAAGCTGCATCTGCCCGGCCCTGGATTAATGTGCGCTGGCCTTCTGACAACAAATACTGAGACAAGTTGTTCTGATCTGCAGAGGGTTCAAAATGATTTAACTTTAGAAGAGACTAAGAGGAAGAGACTGCTTTACAGAGCTGTCACGATACCACAATTGTATTCTTCCATATGATACTGGTAAAACTCAAACACTATCAATAATGTTTCCATACCACAGCAACAAAAACTGATGTCCTAGGCAGATGAAGAAAACAAGTTTAACATCTTTGAGAAGTGTCAGGATTTGGATCTGAATGGACCACAGCGACTCTCTCTCTTTTGCTTGAGGAAACTTTTGGTTCAAATTATGATTGAAGCTTAAACTTTGGTACTTATCGATACTAAAATGGAAATATTTTATCGTTTTAAATCAAGTCAGATTTGAAAATGTTTTGATTTATAGCCTTTATTTCCTCTTATAGTTTAACATTGATAGACTTGTGAGAGAGAGAAGAGGGAAAGTGATGTGATAGAAAAGTGAAACTGTTAACCTAGAAGGACACATCAAAAGTCTCCCTGTGGGATCAACTGAGTGTCTCCTCTGATACACGCCTCTGTTTACGAGGCAGCAGCTGGACTTTGAGTATTTCAAATAAAACATTTGCTCATACTAGGTGAACTTAACCCCGCCTGCGCCGACACACAAGTATTGAATTTGAATTTTGGGCACTGAATTTGAGTAATGTTTATTAAACAGACATACACTGAGGAAACTGAACAGAAGAGTAAAAGACGAGCTGACAAAGTGACTCATGATCAGATCAGCTCAGCTGGTTGGGAGGGGCTGACGCATCACGCAGCAGGAAGGAACAACAGATGATGTTACTATTAAAACATGACATGAAGCTCTGTTTGAACAATCAGCTGTGAATAGTTTCCTCTTCACATAGTATCACATCATATCAGTTTCAAACTCCTAAGGCTTCTAAGATCTGATACATTTGTTGTTGAAATTGTAATTTTGAAGCTACAACAACTCGAAGCTAGTTGTCCTTTAGTTTGAGATTTCACAGCTCATATACAATGCTGTATTTTCTTTAGGGTTTTTATGTTTGACGTTCCTCCAACAGCACTCTGCAGCTTTAAATATCACAAGGCAACATTTTTGGACTAAAGCAGCAAGTCAGTGAGATCATGAGGTGCAGATGATACATCACATTGTGAGCGAGCTCAACCTAATCTGTTGGAAAAGTTAACAGAACTGAATTTCATAATACATTTGAAGATTATTTTTTTACTTACTTTGTCAACTGCCATCTTTTTGAAGGACAGCTGCAGGAGCTTGTAATTATGGATGTATTCATGCTCCAGCTTGGCACCAAATTTAACTCTCTTCAGAGGCACTGAGTTGGGAAACAGCATGTCCATGAACTGGCAGTATGCACCACCTGGAGAAAAAAAAACACACAAAGTACCAAAAGTTTATATTTCATATATCAAGTCCTCTGATGTCTCAGATACAGGGAGGGGCTGAGTGTTTGCTGCATGTTTAAAATCAGGAAACGCCTTCAATGTAAAAGAAAACTTGGAACGAAGCAGCCATAATTCCAACTTTGAAACAACCCAAACCCTAATACCACTGAACACACATCATCAAGTGTCGTCTGATTTTTGTATTTAATAAAAAAGCTCAATGTGTAGCTGCACTCATCGTCCAAAAGAAATCTGAGAATGATCGTAGTGGTACATCCTTCACCGAGTACATTGACATGGACTTGAGTATCCCAGTTTGATTCGGGTTTTTGTGTTTGATCATGTACAAATTATATTCTGATTTCAGGAAAATCGGTATAAGCCCTTATCCTGACTTTTAGAAACCAGACGTTGCTAACCTGGTGAGCTCTGAAAGAAAATTGGACACTGTGTCATGTACACCCCTTACACGGTTTCTGACAGGAGCCGACTACCTGCGCAGGTGCGGCCTCAGCCAAGTGACGCATTAGCAAAACAAATATGGCAGTGGCAACACGAGCATCTTACTTCTAGCTACGAAGACAATGAGTTTTGTTTTTTAGTGATGAAAGAATGAAATATAATTGGAAGTTTAGATGAGAGAAAGCATTGAAATGATGACCTATTCAAATCTGTGGTGAACAGTCTGCAGGACGCCACAGTTTGTTTTGTTAAAAATAATCCTCACAGAGCCGGAATACTATTAGTTATAATGTATACAGGGATGAATAACCAGGTTTCTGTGTGTGCATGGAAACACCATATCCTGAATATGATCAAAACCAGGATGAGGCTCATAACCACACTCAGTCTGCAGATGAAAGGGGAACCAGACAATCGATGGTAAAAAGAAAATCCTTTACTTTTGTTAAAGGTACTTCCCCTTCAAAACACAAGATTTAGATATCATTTATTTTATATACCGCTGAAAGAAAACCCTTTTGATTAATATATCTTTCAACCGGGGATTAAAGGGACAAGCTCTGCAGGCATTCACTGCTCTGACACGCCTTTTATTACGCACCAAAAAAAACTAAGAGTTGGATATTAACAAGCCAGAGAAAAAAATCTGCAAATGTACAATACCTGCATGCACATGTAGACATGTGTTTAATAACGGACTGAAGGATGTTGGCGGTTCAACAGAGTCAGGAAATAAGACGACATGTTCCTACAGGAGGCCTCCGTCACACGTTGTTAGATTTGATATTGTAAATACACTTTGTAGCTCTGTGACACTTCTCGTATACGTCAGATAAGGTCAACAAAAATGCTCTTTATATTTTGAGGCACTTTGTCTCCATTTATTGAAACTTTTGCAGATGCAGCTTCTCTTCAACTGCTTCACAGCCCGTCCTACACCGGCCACAGCTGATCCATCTTGCAGCACCAGCCTTGCAGGCTTTGCTTCATGCATTCATCAAAAAAAAGAGAAGCACCTAGAGGTCAGGGTTCAGGCTGCTTGTTACTGTCAAACTGTTCAGATCAGAACTCTTTCAAAGTTTTGAGAAATAGAAGGAGCCCTCTTCTTTGTCTTGTGTTTGCACTGAGATCTGAGGGCTGTCGTGGTTCTAAATTTATTGTTTGAAGGACTGTTTTGGGCTGACATTAGGTCCACCGTGGTTAGGTTAAGCAATCCCCAACTAGACCATTTAAATCTCGATTTTGGGCTTGATCCCTTGAAAATGGTCTACTGTGTTGTCAGCTTTAGACATCAGAGCAGGTACCCTACCAGTACAGGATGAACCCTGATTGATGAACATATGGGCAAATGAAGCACAGGAAATGGACATCTTTTAAGATCTTGATCATAGTTTATTTGATACATCCCTCACCTTCAGTATAGTTAACATAAAAACACGGTGCGCAGTTTTCTGGCTGTGATTAATTACAGCTACAAGTTTAATCAAAGCTGCACCTTTGATAAAACAAAGCATTTAACTTCAAGGATATGTTTCACTGTTTTCATGTGATAATAACAAAAGCTTCAGTGTTTTATTGTCACGTCAACACACTCAGCGACGCCTGCCCTACTGATCCCCAACACCACACAGTCGTGTTAAATATCATCATGCTTACATCGTTCCCCAACATGATCATCGGGCTGTTTCAGGACATCTGACAACTATCTGTTTATTGAACAGATCTTACCTGAGCACAACATTTCTATCTTGGTGAGGTTCATCTGTAGAGACTCATTGATCCACTCCAACATGTCGTGGCGACTTAAATTATCGCTGGTCACTGAGGTCGAGTACACGTTCACAGCCATGGTCAGTCACCTGCGGACACAAAGCAGAGAAACATTAGTGTGAAGAAAGTTTTATCTGTTGTTTTTAAAAAGGCAAATGTCACAATAAACTAGTTTGGTAATTTCCACATCAACAGGGAAGTTACTTTTCTCTTTTTATGCTTAATCTGAAGCTGCAGCTCAGTTTTTCTCATCATGATGAATCTGCTGAGAAGTTTCTTTAAGCTTTTTTGTATTTCAGATCGTATCGTTCAGTTTGCAAAGGTCAAACCAACTTTCCCCAGCAGCCCAAATCCTCAGACTGTTCAAGAGCACAAAAAACAACAGGAGCAAATAATCACATTTAGAAAGCGGAACTTTGTTGACTTCCTGAAAAATAAGAGGACCAATTGTTCAAGAACCAAACTAAAGTTACGTAACAGCTGAAACCTTTATTCACAGTTCATGCTCAGGCTCATCTCCAGAGCAGGCAGGGCAAGCTACTTCCTCAACAGCTGAAAGTAATACCTTGAGGCCTCAATTTATTCAAAACAGTGGTTTAATACGTCAAAACAAAATGAGCCTTATCGTTAGTGAACAATGAGTGGAATCATTTTACACGTTCTCTCGTTTCTTGTCTACACCTCAGGTGTGAAATTGCTTTGACTGAGTACCATCTCTGTTGGTTTGTTTATATCCTGATCATTTCCTGTATCTCAACATTATTTCAAACAGGAAAACCTGAATGAATTCGGATAAATTAATGCTTTAATGAATTATATGAGCGGCCTGTCATTCTACTAAAAATGTTAATCTTCGATATGATATTTTAAAATGATATTGACACCCGTTTCGATACCATGGCAACACCGAGGCCCCTAATATTAAGTAAGGCTCCGTGTCCACCTAGCTTTTTTCTGACCGGCAGCATCTTTTATTAAAGAGAGAGCATTCGCAGCATTGGAGTTTTTTTTTTTTTTTTTTTTTTTTTTTTTAAAGTGCTTTTCTGGTTTTGGAAGAAACACATCTCACACACGTATTGTGTAAAATATGAAGAATAGCTGATAGAAATAAAAAGGGAATTACAGATGATTTGCACTCTTTAAAATGTTGTTAGTTAACTTTACTTCAGTTTGTTATCTTCATACTGAACAAGGTAATAATAACACAGCTTCACATCACAGATACTCTGGCTTTGGTACTGATTGTTGCTTCTATTTATATTTAATTCTGTCTATACTTCCTACAGCTGTGTTTAAAGGGCAACTGTAACAACCAGATCTCCCCCAGGACTAATTAACTATTTCTGATCCTGTAGACAAAAGGGGGGTTGACTGGTTGCTCACTGTGGTTGAGGTAGATGAGTAATTGTAAAATAAATAAATTACTGATTGTTCTTTTGGAAACAGGGATAAATATTATAAGGAGAGGAAACCAGGCACTCCAATCAATATTTATTTTTAAATGAGTAAGGAAATACTTAAAAGGCCTTCATATATATATATATATATATATATATATATATATATATATATATATATATATATATATATAACAGCTAAATAATTTAAAACGTAAAAGATATTTCTGATTTTACCATTTTCTGATATTGTGCAAGTCTAATGTTTACATAATAATGCAGACAGCATTTATCTGGTTTGAGTTTCTCTATTGTTCACATCACAAAATAAATACAGATAAAAAGTAAATCTCAATATCAGTTTTATCTAAAATCATGCAGCTCTAATTTGGATTCTAAATACTTACTGTAAATAAAACAATAACTAAAACCGTATATAATATATGTCATTAGAATATATATTCATCTACTGTATTGTCTATTTATATATTTGTGTTGTTTTTACATTTATAATTATTTAGATGTAAGAATGCAACATGGTGACCTGAAATATGGCTCTTGTATTAATGTTTGAACCTTTTTATGATAAATCTTTAATTAAAACCTAATCATTAGATTGTCCAGTAATGAATGTGATGGTTTCTGTATCACTGTCCCGGCTGGATCAGTGAAACTGGGCCCGGTTAGAAACGGAGAAGCTAACGGTAGCGGCGGTTAGCCAACAGGCAGGCAACTCATGCTGCATTCACGTCCTGCTCGGACATCCCAATGGTCCAGCTGGAAACGCATGCCTGCACCTCGCAGGACAATGTAAGAATATGACAGACACACTTTGTATGCTGCTGAATTTTCCACCCACCCTTTAAAATCCTCTGCAGACACGAAAGAGCCAAACACTGGTCACAGGCCATATTAACGCAGGTAATGAAAATGCATCTTTTAGTGTTCATATATGTCTTTTGTAATGTCTTATCTGGACCGTGAGTCTGTATTTACTTAATACGAATTTAAGATACGTTTTTTTATGACAGATCTGTCCCCAGAAACAAGACTACCCGTTTTGAAACAGTTCTGCAAGGTGCATTTAATTACCGTTGTTCTGTGCCCAAGAGCTGTAAGTACTCATTAAGATAACAACATGACATTTGTAACATATATATACAGCTGCAGTCATTGTCAGCAACTAATACTGACAGCCTCTTCCCATGCTTTCAACAGTTAAAGTTGTGATTCCGACATAATTTCTGAAAAACACATTTTTCCGATTATTTTGTGAGAACTTGAACGCACGGTTAGCTGCCTGAATAGCTTAACTAGCTCAGCGATGTGGAGGCTACTCACACTAAACTGAACCGTTACCGTCTGATAACCGGCACAAGTGGCGGAAACTTGACTGTTATTACCGTCAAAGATGTGGTATTAACTGAAAACGTTATTAATCACTGGCTAAACACGATCACCGGCTCATTTGTGACAGTTTTAGTCAGAGGCAGTGGGACGTTTCCCCCGCCCTGAACCGGAGCGAGCAGCCCGCTAGCTGCTGCTAGCTGCTGCTAGCTGCTGTTAGCTGCTGCTAGCTGCTGTTAGCTGCTGCTAGCTGCTGTTAGCTGCTGTTCGCTGCTGCTAGCTGCTGTTAGCTGCTGTTCGCTGCTGCTAGCTGCTGTTAGCTGCTGCTAGCTTCAGACAAACTTCCAGACACGAGGAGTTTGAAACGTCACTTAAACTGATTTAAACTCTCAAGTGGGACAAACAGTTAACGACTCCGAGGTGGGCTTAACTCGGATGCAAACGGCCACATCCCGGTGACATTCAGCGGCTAACAGAGGCTCGCGTTTTACACGCCGGTAAATACCGTTAAATGTCTCCGTGTGCAGGAGCCGGTCACCTACCTGGAGTTGATTTGCCTTCACGGTGGTTTATTTATGTCGGCTGTGACTCTAGTTATAAAAAAGACCTCTCGTATTCGCCACTTCTGTTTCTTCCCTTCGTCTTGCACTTCACGTTCACTCTACCGGCAGCGGAAGAACCGTTTTGATGACGTAACGGTTAACGCCTGACGTAACGACAGCGTGATGAGCGTAACTATGGATACTATTACCAACCAACTGCATTTAAGCGAACGACCCCTTGCGGCTAATTATGATGACAAAAAAATGACTAAAGTATAATAAATAAATGTTGGGAAAATGCATACAATAATTGTAAAAATTAAATAAATGCATACAATAATGTGTAAATAAAAATAATTAAATAAATGCATACAATAAGTGTAAATAAATAAATAATAAATAAATGATACAATAATGTGTAAATAAATGAAATAATTAATAAATGCATACAATAATGTGTAATAAATGAATAATTAAATAAATGCATACAATAA